CTGGAACTTTGATATATATATATATAGAACGAACTCATACGAACTCCCTTCCAGTGGGGTAGAGAAACTTTCAGCTTTCTGGGCTTTTCATATAGGTAGGACAAGCTCCTTTCCAAGGGCTCATTTGAAGACCCCCTCCTCCTGCAAGCGCTTGCCAAGTGGGTCTTTTTCATTTAATGCCACGAGATAAAGTCTTCCTGCTCTTTTGTAACCGTTTGCAACCAGGTCCTCCTGAAACGCTTGCCAGATGGTTCTTTTAGGGTTTAGGGGCCCTTTTTCGGGCTCCTTCAAGGGATCCATAAAGGTTTCTATTAGAGGTTTCTATAAGGGTATTCTTCATAATGCCACGCATTTCCAATGGCTCTGAAAAGCTTTCAGCTTTCTGGGCAGCTCATAAAGGTAGAAGATTGCTTTTCAATTTACTTAAACCAAATAGTCTTCTATGAAACCAAATGCGTATGGCTCTGCCACCCAAATCGCCCAACACACACCTTCTTTATCATTTGCGTTCATTTGCGTGAGGGTTTCGGGTTTCGGGCTTAGGGTTTTGCAGTTTAGGGTTTTTACCGAGGTCTGAGGTTTGAAGGTTTAGGGTTTAGGGTTTAGACAGAGGCCTAAGGGTTCAGGGTTTAGGGAACCCGTAGCTCAGACCCCCCAAACTCGAACTCGGAGGTGGAGAACACCGTCCTGGCACTTGGCGGCCATGTGGCCGCTGACGCGAAGTCTGCTACGCATGCGGCCACTAGGCAGTTCTAGAAAGGGCTTCCGAATCACCCTCAATTGGTTGAAGTTCGATCTTCGCTGCCCCAAGCGTAGCCCTTGAGATCGTTTGGAGATTGTTTTTTGGGGTTTCGGGTAAGTCATACACTCCTCAGCTGCCTTAGCTGGATTCTGGTGCTTTCTTTACCGGGGTTTATGAGGCTTTATACGCTTTGACGAGTTAGTGTCCTTGAACTCTGGACCTGGGTTCTTGGCAACAAGAAGAACATCACATTCTTCACGATCCAAAAAAAAGAGTTTAGGGCAACCCCTGAGGACTCTGCGCTCCTTACCGAAAGCCCTAAACCCCTAACCCTATAGCACCCTGATGGAACCCGTAACGGAACCGTTATGGATCCTTAAAGGAACCTTAAATCGGAGTCTTAAGAACCCTCTTAAGAGACCCGAAGCCAGTGGAATTCAGGTCTTTCCGAACCAGATGATGAAGGCTGAATCCTGGCAAGACTGGACCCTAAACCCTCCAGTAGAAGCCCAAAAGTTGGAAACCCAATAGCCTCAATTCTTAAGAGTTATATATAGGGAATCCCAGCACTAATTGTCCCTAATCCGGTTTCCAACTTTTTGGAGGTTACTAGAAACCCTTTTTACGAACCTTGAAAGCAGAAATCTCCATTCTACTATGCAGGTACGTGGCACCCTTTCGGTATGAGAGTTCTTTAAAACGGTTTAGGGCTTAGGGCTTCAGGCTTAGACGGTTCTTTAAAACGGTCCTGTAATGGTTCTTTCAAAGGCTCGTAAAAGTCGGTCCTACAAAGTTTCCAGAAGACACCCATGAGGTTTTCCTAAAGTTAGAGAGGAAAAGGGCAGTGTTGGGGTCTGGGAGGGGGCTTGTGTGGGGGTTTCGTGGGGATGTGGTGCGCAGATGTTGGTGTTTAGCTTCAGGTTTTGGGGATGGGGCTGGGCATAGGCATGGGTCTTCGGGTGCAGATCTTGTTGTAGACTGTTTGGGGTTTAGGGTTTAATTGATTAGGGGTTTAGGAATTAATTGGGGGTTTAGGGTTTAATTAGGGTTTAGGGTTTAATTAGGGGTCAAGGGTTCAGTTAGGGTTTCGAGTTTAATTAGGGTTTAGGGTGTGTGACTAGGGTTTGGGTTAGGGGGCCAGGGGCATGGGCTGAGCAGTGCATCTGACTAGTCCAACAGCCCTCTTGGGAGCCTTGAAAGGATCGTTGAAGCCTAAAGCCGCACTCTTTCTGGGATTTAGGGTTTAGGGCTTAGGGTTTAGGGTTTAGGGTTTAGGGTTTAGGGTTTAGGGTGCCTTGGGTTCAGGGGTTGTTCTAACTTCGGTTGCACCTTCAATGTCTGTTGTTTTCATCTTGAGGGCTTCATCTTGTTCTACTCGGCGATTTGGGGTTTGAGAGGGTTGTTGACATGCAGGGCTCCATGTATGTACGTGTGTTAAGGTATGGCGGTGCAGGGGTTGATGGTGGCTCAAGGGTTTCGAGTGGAGGAGGATCCTCCAAACACTCGGTGTCGGCAGGTGAAGTAAGGTTTGTACCCAGAGAACCCAATACCCCTTAAATTAGGAATATACGTTAAATTATAGGGGCTTAACATTTTGATTTAAGGTATATTCCTTAATTAAAGGGTATTGGGTTCTCTGGGTATTGCTAGTGAGTCGGACTTGGAGGCCAAGTATCTCCATTACAGCACCCACAAAGCCTATGCCACTGATATAGGTAGGCCCCAGTTATTGTCTATGTGGGGATTTTCGATTGTGGCACAACTTCTGGGTCCTTGTTGGATACAACTTTACATTTTTGTTATATAATAAAACCCTAAGAAGGATCAAAAATGATCATTGTTAATATGGCCCCAGCAGGGAACCAGACTCATGGTTGCGGACATATCAGGGCATTAGGCCGCCAAGGCGGCTCCGACCCGGAAGCAGGATAAACTTTCAGCCACAACGACCCTGAGACTTGAAGGATTTGGAACCTCGAGGCCACTCCTTATTCAAGCATAGGACTATAGGACCTTCGGAATAAGGGACACCCCCCGAAAGGGGACCCTGGTATGAAGTGGAGAACATGTTATGCAGATCATTTGTAGACCTGTAAGCCGTATAAGCCCTACAAAGCCCAAGTTTTGAGGCTCTAGGTAATCCCCGAGACGCCTTCTGAGGATTGGCTTGAGCTCGAGCCTATTGCCGCAGAGGTTTGGCAAAATGGCGGCAAGTTGGTGACGTTCAGGTGGTTCCAGGCGCCCCGCTGTAAGGCTCTTGCAAACACACAAAGCCTTCGGTCAGGGTTAGGGCTCTTGTAAGTTAAGCAGTTAGGGCTTAGGAAGTTAGGGTCCGGTTATTCCCGCTGTAGAAACTATCCTAAACTATAAACCCTACACCCTTTGGGGGTGTGCAGCTGACCGGCTTGGAGTGTAACGGTTGAGGCTCTGCTATTGAGCCTGTTTTTTGGCTTCTGCTTGACATTGAAGCCCTAAACCCTAAACCCTAAACCCTAAACCGTGAGCCCCTGAGCCCTAAACCCCTGAACTTGAAGCCTTCTAGGGACTCGTGTCGGACCTGTAAAGGACCGTTACACAACCCTTGCCCCCATCATTAAACTCAAGCCCTCGTCGCCAACCGCCCTAAACCCTAAACCCTACACCCTACACCCTACACCCTAAACCTTAATCCTAAACCCTCAACGCAAAACCCTAAACCCTAAACCCTAAATAAACCCGGCCGCGGAAGGAAGTCACGGAGGGAGGCCTTTGCGCACAGGACCCACAGGAGTGCACGAGGCCTTTTCCGGGGGTTCCTACAATATCCTATAAATAAATTCCACATATTAGGGTTTTGGGTTTAGGGTTTAGGGTTTAGGGGGTTCTTGAGCAACCCTGACCCGAAATTTGAACACTCCTACCTTAGGCTATCAAAACCTTCTGTTTTTGTTAGGATCCCGATAATATATGCTATAAATTCCATATATTAGGGTTTAGAATAGCAGACGCTAGGTAGGTGTTGGGTAGTTTGAGGTCAGCCCTGAGCCTTATATCTCCTAAAAGCTGTGGGCCTGGGTGCAATCTTGTGAGTTCGTCTTGGTCCGAAGGGTTTGGGGTTTAGGGTTTAGGGGTTTAGGGTTAGGGATTTAGGGTTTAGGGTCTAGGGTGTAGGGTATAGGGTTTAGGGTTTAGGGTTTAGGGTGAAGGGTTTGGTGCAGCTCATTTGAAGAGCTGGTTTGGGTAGCCTTTGGGTTGCCGCACTCCCAAACCCCCATACACCAAAACCTTCAGCCCCTGGACCACCCAAGCCGTGAACCTCGAGACTCCACAGTAAACCCTAAACCCTAAACCCTAAGCCCTAAACCCAAACCCCTGACCCTAAAAGTTAGAAGAGGGCTTCTGGGCATGAACTCTAAGACAAGGACGAGCGTGGAATGTAAATACAAAGTGTTCAGACTCCTGTGGAGGAGCCCGAAAGGCTGGAAGCTGAAAACTGTGAAAGCCTTGCAGCCCTAAGTCCTAAACCCTAAACCCTTAAACCCTAAACCCTGAACCCTAAACCCTAATTAGGGTTTAGGGTCTCGAAAGGGTCTTTTGTCTGCTTATAACCGCAATTAAGGTGCTTTATAACCTTGCTTATATACTGAGTCCCATGATCCTTGTAACTGTAGGTTTCGGTTGCTGCGATTAGGGCCCGGTAGCCCGGCAGCCCTGGTTAATGAAACAATCAACCCAAGCAGTCCTGAGGATCCCCGACCATGCCAAGTTTTAGGGTTTAGGGTTTTAGGGTTTAGGGTTTAGGGTTTTTTGTTGGTTTCCTTTAAGCATCTCATTCCCGATGATTCATGTGCACCGCAGATACTATGCCCCAGTGCCATAATAAGGATTTCCACCAGGATCCTTTCTATGAGGGGCTGCTGAAGACAGGGAGTTCATGAATCAAAAGGCATATCAAGGGCAGAGGGGATCCCATCTACGACCGCATCTGGCAGGCAGGCTGCAGTCCATCCTCGCATAGTTGACCCTTCCCTTGCGTCAGGTGCGAGAGTGGCCTTCGACGTCCTCGGACTTGTATGCCCACGCGATGGCGCTGCTTATGCTTATGCAGCATCGCATGGTATTGCGCCTGCACATTCGCGAACAGGTCGGCCGGGATTTCCACCGGAGAGTGACATCAGAGTGGGCCGGGGTAGAACTTGACCGATGATGTCGGCGCCGAACGCGGATCGCAGAAGACCCGAACAGATAGTCGAAGGGTCTCAAGCCCTGGCCCTAGACCCCAACCCCTTAAACCGCTAGACGCTGGACCCTTAAACCCTAAACCCTGATAAACCCTTAAGAACCTCTAAGCCCCTAAACCCTTAAGCCTTAAACCCGTCGTCGCAGTGGCGACGGCAGCACCGGCTATGCTTCAGGAGAGCCTGCCTACTTCTTCAACCCGAAACCCTAAACCAAGAACCCTAAACCCTGAACCCTACCTGCAACCGAAAAGACCTACCTTTTTAGGGTTCCTTATTATGGTTTCTATACAAAGTTCCTTCAAAAGGTAGGTCTTTTCGGTTACAGGTAAACCCTGAACCCTAAACCCTCAGCTCTAAACCCTAAACCCTCAACCCTAAACCCCGAGCCTCTAGACCCTAAACCCGCCCCCTCCCCTCAACCTAGAACTCCCCCAGCCCCCCAGCCTCAAAACCCCAAACTCCAAAACACCCCCAAGCACCTTCCAGATGAAGCCTCATAGTATAGCAGTATAGCCCTAAACCCTAAGCCCCCTTGAAATGTAGATCCCTGTGGGTATGAAGCCTTAATAGCTGGCAGCACATACAGGAACCCCTTCTAGGCCTTGATAGAGCCCGTGAAGAGACCCTTATAGCAAGTATAGCAGTACGGCCCTAAACCCTAAGCCCTCTTGTAGATCCCTGTGGGTATAGGCCTAAATTTGTCAGGTTCATGCCAGAAGAGTACCAGCAGCTGATCGCTCATGGGAAGGGGCTGAAGCCAGCGGGCAAGCGCGTGTCGCGGGTGAAGGCAGCCTTTAACGATTCCTTCTGAGGATTGAGGGTTCGGGGTTTAGGGTTTAGGATTTAAGCTTTAGGGCCTAGGGGAACCCTAAACCCTAAACCCCTTAACCCCTTAGGGGTCAAGGGGTTTAGGGATCAGAACTTGGGTTCTAGATGGGCTCCACGGGAGTTTTAGGGGGTTTCGATTTTGAGCGTCGGCTCGGGGGTGCGGAGCGAAGGTTTAGGTTTCGGGCCATTGGCTGGGCCACAACCCCCCTTTTTTTCTGAAGCCTAAAACCCTAAACCCCCTAAACCCTAAACCCCCTACACCCTAAACCTTAAACCCTAAACCTTAACCCCTAATTACACCCTACACCCTAAACCTTACATCCTAAACCCTAAACCTTAAACCCTACACCCCTAAGCCTTACACCTTACACCCTAAACCTTAAACCCTACACCCTAAACCCTAAACCGCAGAGACGCCAAAAGCCGGAGCCGAATCAAGGGTTCAGGGTTTAGGGTTTAAGGGTTTAGGGTTTAGGGTTCAGTGTTCAGGGTTTAGGGTTTAGGGTTCAGTGTTCAGGGTTTAGGGTTTAGGGTTTAGGGTTTAGTGTTGATTTGAGTCTGCTGGGTTTCGGATTTCGCGTTTTGGGATACCGTGGTTTTATGGTCTCGGGTGGAAAACCCACTTCGTTGCAAGGCAATGCCAGCTTCTCAGAGTGGCTTAGGTCGTTTTTTGTTTAAGGCTTTTCGGGTGTTTAGGATTTTTGGGATTGCTGGGGTTTTGAGGGTTTTTCCCGCTTTTCAGGTTTTCAGGGTCTGGGGTTTAGGATTCGGCCGTTGCAAGCACAGCGCTGGCAGAGCAATACTTTCCGAACAAATCAGCTGGCGTATGCTTCGCTCGCCGTAGCCGAAGGAAGGATCACAAAGCGAAGCCATCAAAACTCAAAGGGTCGTACGTAGCTATATAGTAGAATCTAGGTTTTCTGTCGTAGGATCTACCATCATGATTAGTGGTAGTATCCCCCATACCAGATCTCGAAGATCCCATTCACTGAGTGGTTCGGGGGCCGATTGAAACCCTAAAGCCTAAACCCTAAACCCTAAACCCTAGAAGCCTGAGCCCCTCAACCCTAAACCCTAAACCCTAAACCCCTAAACCCTAAACCCCAAAACCCTAAACCCTAAACCCTAGGGGTAGCGAAGGCGGCCAGGCTGACTCATTTGATGAAAGCACTGCCACCGTCGCGCTTACTGGTCTCCATGTAGGGTTTAGGGTTTAGGGTTTGGGAGTCCAACGCCATTCCTTTTCCGCTGGATGTGACACGCTTTGATAGAACCTTAGCCAAGGTCAACGAGGGCAAACTGTTGATCCGAAGAGTCGCTGAGACTACCTTTTAGGGTTGTTCGGGCATAATATAGGGGCCTTAATGATTAGAATCGGGTTTTGGGTACATTATACTATATTTATAATAAGGAACCCCCAAAACTTATTCTAATTATTAAGGCCCCTACATTACCTTTTTGGGCTGGTTCGGGCATATTCTGCCGGCAGCACTTAAACTGAGCACCAAGTAGTGCTCTGTATGATCTTGTCATCCAGAATTGCCCACCTAAACCCTAAACCCTAAACCCTAAACCACCTGCGATCCGGGGGGGGGGGGGCCTTCGATGTGCTTTTCCTTGCTCGCCCTCGCGGTCTCCCGGAGCTGCGGCAGCCTTCGTACAAGACCCCGCTCTAAAGTCCTTGGGGTTCTGGCTTTAGGATTTAGGGTTTAAGCCTTACTTGGGGTTCTGGCTTTAGGATGTAGGGTTTAAGCCTTACTTAGGGTTCTGGCTTTAGGATTTAGGGTTTAAGCCTTACTTCGGGTTCTGGCTTTAGGATGTAGGGTTTAAGCCTTACTTAGGGTTCTGGCTTTAGGATTTAGGGTTTAAGCCTTACTTGGGGTTCTGGCTTTAGAATTTAGGGTTTAAGCCTTACTTGGGGTTCTGGCTTTAGGATTTAGGGTTTAAGCCTTACAACAAAGCCCTTGCAAACAAAAACCCAGTCCCAAGTCCTTACATCCTAAACCCTGAGCCCTAAACCCCTAAACCCTACACCCTGAAGTCTAAACCCGAAGCCCTAAACCCTTTATAGAAACGCCTCTGAAGCGGAACCCTGAACAACAGTGCCGGAGAGTAGCTTGGAAGGCTCCTTCCGCAGCAGCTCCTGAGCTTACGAGATCCTTGCAGCAGACCAAGGCACCCCTCTTCGTTTTTGGTTTAGGCAACAGGGTTTTAGGGTTTAGGGCTTCAGGTTTAGGGTTTAGGGTTTAGGATTTAGGGTTGAAGGCTTAGGGTTTAGGGCTCTTCTTCTTTCTTCTTCCTTTCTCTGTCTCTTGGGCGAGGGTGGTGAGGTGGGGGTTTGGAGTTTGGGTGTTGGGGTCTAGGGTTTGGGATTTAAGCTTTCGGGTTGAGGGCGGGTGCTGTTTGTTTTTTAGACGGAGGTTCTTGAATTAATTACAGTCTCCGTTTTGGGTTCTTCCAGGTCTGCGACATGAGATGTGGTGTTTAGGGCCTGCTTTGATTGGCCTATGCTATGGAAGAGTGGTCGCACCGTGCACATAAAAGGAGCGCGAGGCTCTACACGGTTTATGTTCAAGGCGTTTAGCGTCCGGGCTTAGGGAGGTAGGATCTGAGATTTAGGTTTAGGGCTTAGGGTGGGCAGTGTTTCGGCAGTATAATATAGGGGCCGTAATAATTAGAATAGGGTTTGGGGTATATTACACCAAAATTATAATAAGGAACCCCCAAAACCCTATTCTAATTATTAAGGCCCCTATAGTAATCCGCTGCCTAATTTCCACAGGCTCGCCTTGCGTCCCGGCGAAGAAAGCCGAAGAAAAGGCGCAGTCCAAAACGCGCTCGGAACGCAAGCAGCTGATGTTCGTGGCGGAAGACGTGGCGGACATTCTTTCACAAGGACCCCCTGACAAGGCCTATTTAACGAGGTATAGTCCCCTACCCCCCTCCCTTTTACCCCTTTGGAACCGAAAAAAGGGACCCTAATTTAAAGAACTACCCAATTGTTAAAACCCTAAACCATAAACCCCTAAGCGTCCCTATGATTCTTCTTTTCTCTGCCAAATGCATAGACGCATCAATTCCATCTCGATTCGGATGTCGTTGGAAGCCTAGCCTAAACATAGGCCCCTAAGTAGTTCCTTTTTATGGTTTATATTTAGAATCCTTAAGGTAATCCCAAAAAGGAAATGCTTAGGGGCCTATGGGTAAACACTGAAGAACCCCTGAACCCCTAAACTCTAAGCCCCTTAGACCCCTAAATTCCCTAAATTCCCTAAACCCCAAAACCCTTAAACACCCTAAATTCCCTAAACTCCCTGAACCCCGAAGCCCCTATAAACCCTAAATGCTTCCAGTGGACTCTGGAGTCGATACTCCACACGCACCAAGAAGAGGCCCTCCAGCGCGCTTAAGGTTTTGAGGGTTTAGGGTTTAGGGCTTAGGGTTTAGGGTTTTAGGGTTTAGGGTTTAGGCTTTAGGGTTTAGCTTGGTATGAAATTAGCACTAACAGTAGCAAAGGATTTACATAATCAGAGTTTTTTGAAATCAATAATGACAAGAGTTTTATTCAAAAACCGAGAGAATAGCTCGTAGCAAGGATAGTAGCAATAATGCTCGTAGTAATAGTGATAGTGACAAGAAGAACAACAGCAATACATCGCAGAGCCAGCGCCGGACCTGACCATGGCCTGATGACCAGCGAGCAGATCCAGCAGGTCTTCGGCCTGAGAAAGTACCCAGAAGCACAAGCATATGGGTATTTCTCTAAATGGGGGTCCCTTTATAGTAACTTTATAGGTCCCCAATGTAGTACGGCGCCCTTATAAAAAGGACCCCCCAAAAGGGACCCTAATTTAGACAGAGAGCTACCCGTATTTGTTTGAAAACAAGACTTAGCTGTAACATCCTGGCTGCGAAGGCTGATGGGCGACCAGTCATCCGTGCAAATCTAACCCCCCAAAGTCCGAACTCTCAACGAAAGCCTCCAAACCCTAAACCCTTCAAACTGTATAAACTCTATAAATCCTAACCCTGAAGCCCTGAACCCTAAGCCGTACGAACTCTAAACCCTAAGCCCCAACCCCCCAAAAGTCCGAACAGCGACCCCGAGACGCTTAGCGAGATGTCAGGCCTTCCTACA